ACAATACCTGCCAGGTAAATTTAGTAGGTAGCTTAAAATAACACATGTGAAATATATCAAGAGGGTGTCCACCTGTGGGCAGGGACCCACCCGTGTGGAAATCCTCCATAATAATAATAAGTATGGTATTTGTTAGTATTTGTTGGTATTTATTATATAGATTTATAAATAAACATTATTATTTATTAATTATTACATCTTTGTTGTTAAATGCGTATTAACTTTTATAAAAAAAAAGCTGTTATCAGTTACCCTTATTATAATATTTTAATAGAAAGGGGTTGTTCATTGAACTAATTAAGAATTTCATTTAGAACGATTAGAATGTGACCTAATTCGCAGAAGTGGTTTCTCGCAGATGGATTTTATTTGAACAAAAATTACAAAAGCTGAAGGCTTTWTATAAATATAAATTATGTTACATGCGGACATACAGGCTATGGCCATCATTCATTAATCTTGATACATAGGTGTACAATATACATAATATAAATAGTAAGTAATAAATCAAACCACACCATTTGTCCATTCATTTGATAGCTATACTATAAGACATGTAGTATCTATATTTAATATCATATTATAATGTTAATAATTGATAAAATAATATTATAATATTACATTCAAGTCTCGGTACTTGCTGCAGCTGCAGTAAATCATTATACAATATAATAATATATGAATCGGTCCGGAAAACGTTCCGTTTCGGGAGGCCGCTCATTATATTATATTATACACGTGCTTATTGCATGCGAAATTATTATGTAACGCGCCAGTGAGTTTATTATTAAACTCGATTCATATATTAACTTGTAACGACAAAATTATGCGATAATATTATGCGGTTATGTAAATATCGTATATACCTATACCTACGCTTGTTGTCGGCACACATACCGCATTACCGCTGTAATATCATGAATTCATGAGCGTATAGAACGTTGTCTTTATAATATGCTATATAGCCGTCACTATATTATAGTCGTCACCTACTTGTTAGTTGTTGTTGTGTGGGCGGTGGGGTGGTRTTATAGGTGCGACCGACCGCGAGTTAGTGTGACGTAAACACGTTTTTATACAGCGGAATGTCGATCGCGGCCGCGGCGTAGAGAAGAGAACGAAGCGACGACGGTTGGACAAAAAATAATTATTCGACGGCGCGCTTACATAATGTAAATACATAAATACGTCATTTTATAATAACACGTAAATAAAAAAAATTAAGGATATGCACGAACGATTTCCAAAAGTTGCATTCCAATCCAAATAAATATGAATAAAACCTTTACAGATCCACAAAACCTATTAATTGAATGACGAAGAAATCAGTCTCACAATAACAACCGCACTAAACTTCGACAATTTTCGATCATTTTWATTAATCAATAATCCTTACTTGTACAGTTATTATTCTTAATAATATTATAATATTATCAATGGAAGTAACAAGGTTACGA